AAGAGATGTTTGGTTGAAAACCTATGGCCAACCATATTATACTTATATATGTACTTTAGTACTTATAATGCACGTTATAGTTCATCGATCATTATTATTATTCTTTAACATTATTATATACACAGACGCAAGCTGTATCGTACAGACTATATAGCTGATAGGTATATACATAGGTCAAGCTTATACGTCAATATAAAAGTTTGTTAGATAAAATACCTCAATAAAGTATAGAGATGATATTATTATGTGTACGTTTTTAAAACTTTATCCAACTGTCCATTAAAGAAAAGGTTGCAAAAAGTGTGTGGATTTAGAATGTATCTGCGCATCTTGATCGATATTGCTTTATTCTTAAAAATGTTTTCTCATGAAATATTGTTCATAATGATCAAGCAATACATTTTAAAAGTTATTTGCAATATTTTCAAGTAGCGATTTTATATAGACAAGTACATTGAATTATTAAAGTATTAAGTAGGTATAGGCATAATTGTTCCCAGGTACACCTATATATTATATAGTAGCGACGTAGGTACCTATACTAATTATTAGTATTTATAACATACTTTATTATAACATAAAACTTTGATTTTTGTTATATTATAGCTTGTTTATGTTTGTAAGCGAGGTCTCGAGCAATTCGTTGGTCGGGGTAACCACGCTTTAAGTGTATATTTTTACTAAGATAAGTGGACTGTATTATGTGTATAATGAAATAATATGATGTATTGAAAAATTATAAGAATGTCAATGTAACTTATAATACATCAAAGAATATAATTGTACGAAATTACAATACAATATTTGGATATTTTAAAAAAACTATAGCAAATAATAATACAAAATTATAACAGACAATTGCTAAATTATTATTACAATAAAACAAATTCTTACCGCGTACTGCGCCACTGCAACAGCCGATAGTAAGCTTTACGCGGCAACCACCAACGTAAAATATATGTCACGATCACGAAATAATTACGCGGAAATTACCAACGCAATAAAAACCGTGACTAGCCCCTAGACAGACGCGGTAGCCTGTATATATAGGGACCGTCGTGGATAGATCACCAGAGGGGAGGGGGTGCCGCGTCTAGAATATTCGTGCGCTGTCGCGGTGACACAGGCGCAACTATAGAATGATCGAGAACAGTTTCGATCATTCCAGAGCTGTACCCAACAATGTTAACATTTAAGATGTACTCATTGAAATAATAATTTTAAAAAATGCTCAAAATTAGATAATGATTATACGAGTTCATTTTGCCTGTAAAATGATTTTTCCAGGTCGTTGATATTAGATATGGTTTGATTTTATTTGTTTGTTTTGCTTAGTGCTTATTGTATTTGTATGACTGCCATGTCACATATAATTATAGAAATAGCCTGAAAATGTGCTCCTTGATAATAAGCCAGCTCCGACAGTCCACCGACGTCCCCTCGTTAAACCCAACGCACAGCACGTTGACGAACGCGTTGTGCCAGCTGTCGGAAGTGTAGCTCTCCTGCCTGCATGCCTGCTCGTCTTCCAGGTACACTGTGCTGCTGTCATGGCGCTCTGCGAGGTCATGCGCATTTTGAACATTTTGCCACCATCACCAAGGTAAAGCGGACCATCTCTTCACAGACAAAGTGCTCTCTCTCTCTCTCTCTCTCTCTCTCTCTCTCTATACATATATATATATATGGGTGTGCGAAATTGAGTTAATCGCCAGACCGGATTGTCCTCAGATGGCACACGTTTGCGATTTGAACGGTGTGCTGAAACTGCTGCGCAGTCTGAACCATTTTATGCTAAAGATGTTAGTTCCTACTATTAAAATAATTATTGCGCATTATTACATCGTGGTATCGCCATATTAATTAATTAATTTATGATATAGGTATGATGCTTTGCGATAATATATACAATTTTAAATAGTATTTACAATTTTATACCTAGTGTAAAATGATAATTTGTCTTATACTCTTATGGTATGTTCGAGTAAAAAAATAATTTTATAACAAGTTATTAATTATTATTAAATATGGAATGTCAGCATTGGCAAAATATATTAATTATCTTTGGGGTTCATTAATTAAAGAAATAGAGGAGCAAGGAGGAATATAAAAAGGGACATAGGATCGGATAGTTCGTCGGTGGACCTTAGAGTTAATTAAACCTAAAAAGAGCTGAGAATCAACTTTTCCTGAAACAACAACGTCATTTAAGAATTTAAAATCGAGAGTATATGACAAGTGTTTCAATTTAAGTACATTTAAGACTGTTCTGTAGCATAGGCACAATAGAGAAGGGGCTTTAGAAGTAGGTACCTAGTCCCGGGGCTTACAAAATCTCAAACGCTATTTGCGCTTATAAGTTCTAGTCATGCGTTTTGGATGGTGAATAATTTTTAAAATAAAACCAATGAAATTAAAAAATGTGTGATGAACCCTTTCAACCTGTTAAGAGTTACCAGCTATGCCTATAAGAGACCCAGAGAATAGTACCATATGCCCGCGTAAACAATATTTATTGTTAACTATAAAACAGCAAAATGAAACTTGAAATTGGAATTATGTATTAATTATTCGGTATATATACATTATACATACATATGTGTTTGATGAAACCCGGTATACTATAATATTATAAATAGGTAGTAGGTACATACCTACTTGATTAGATTAAAACTAGATACTATAAGTATTAATAGAAATGTTAATATGTTATTGTATACCTACCTATGCTTTTATATTTTTAGTACACATTATATTTTATTGTTTAAAATAATATCCAACTATACTATAATAATCCATTTTATATTGAGCTATAATAGTTTTATACCAATAGCTAATAAAACAAAATTAAAAAATTATTTTTATTTTTATTCCTAATTTCATACAAATGTATGGTTTATGTAACTTATTATGCATTATATTTAGAGACTATTTATAGTGTGTATTTAAATAAGTAAGACTTGAAAATTAATCAATGTAAAAGTAATTAATAGTTATGGATTTCACAGTATAAGTATCATGAATTGGAGGTATTATTTTATTTGTAATAATATTTCTTTTATTTCAGTTGAATTAGAAGAATTTTTATATAAAACATTTTTTTTTTTATTTAATTTTTTTTTTTGATGATTACCTACAAGTAAAAGCTCCTTTGAAACTTAAAATGCATTCATCATAAAATAACATAGGTACTTATTTATAAATCATATACACAATATATATATATTCAAATATATGCATATAATTAATTTCTCGAGTCTTATACTATAACAGCAAACCCATAAAAAAAATTTAAATGTTTTTATTCTATTGATATGCTTTTTTAATTACATCTGAAAGCATTTATTCAATCAATAAGTAAATGTTAAACAAAGACACTTAGTTAAATTATGTATGTTAGTTTTTATATTTTGTATAAAACTATTTTTATTCAAAATTCACTTGCATCGTGTAAAACTGCAAAAAAATGTTCAGTTTAAAATAATCGTGGATATTTAATACTCTTTTTTACTCTGTCTTACCTTCTGTATGTGATAGTTTTCAATAATCGAACATTAAATTATTTTTCAACATAAACTGATAAAAAAAAAAATGTGGTATACAACTTGTTGAAACGTATAAGTATTAATTAATATACCATAACATAGGATTACACCATACTGTATGTTTGATACATAACATTATTGTTGTTATACATAAATGCAAAACACGTGGATTTGTGTTTTCTTAAACAGGGTTGTAATATCATTCGTAATTCGTATAATATAAAGGTGACTTTTATACTCACTTTGTTGTAATTGCAATTATAGTAGTATAGGTACATGCGCGATACACCTATATTACTTACCTATCTGTTGTTCGTATTTTTGAATTTTGGTCTAAATATCATAACAGTTATACATTATATTTGTAGTGTGTTATTTTATTTGGGTACTTGCCATAGATTCACATTTAATTTCTACACATAACAGTTCGTGATTGAAAAATGTAAAAACTACGTTCAAAGATGAATAGGTACGTTTTAATAGAGAATACACATCATCCGAATACTACGATAAACAATCCACTTGCATTTTGGCTTTAAATATTAAGTAACCAGAATATTAATTGCGTAAAAAATTGTGTGGATATGTAAATTCAATATCAATGTTATGACTTATAGACAAAAATAATAATTTTGAATATGATTATTGTATTATAGGAAATTTGGAGAACTGTGTTATTTTATCACTACTGGATTTTGTAAGACCTATTGTCCATTACCCAAATGAAATAAACCCTTGATTGCAGCAAAAGAAATGGTATTGAAAATTTAAAAATGTATGTTCCAAATAGTTGGAAATTAGTTGAAAAATATACCTAACCATGGGTTTGGAGTCAATCGGTTAAAACCAGGTGACCGCAACTTATGATCATGGACGTTAATTGTATATTATTATAGATATAGATTACTGCATTGATTAAATTAATATGATAGAAAAGGTTTCCCGTTCCGTGTTCCATTAAGCAATTGTGTAATTATTTGACCAATATTTGGAGTGATGAAACTGGCCAACGACGACCAATCATTCCTTAGTTTTTTTATGTAAATAATAAGTTTTTATCCTTTTCATATAAAAGTTAAATTTATGATATTAATACATACAAAATTACAAACTGTAAATATCATGCGATTGGGCTCGTCTTATTCTTAAATATTACTTACCAATATTTTTAATATTTAATTATAATATTTTACTTTTTGATATTTCACAAAAATGAATTATTATAATATTAATATCGAAACAATACTATAAAATATAAAAATATTATAATATAATAAAATAAAATATAAAATGTATTGCAATAAAATATTGGCTATTATAAAACTCTATAAATATTTCTAAGAGTGTTATTTATTCAATAGTAGAGTAAAAGAAGAAAACAAATCAAAAATTTGAAGTTGTTTTTGAGAACAAAAAATTCGATTCGTAATATCATTAAAAAAAATTAACCTTAAAATGAATGTGTATGCCAACAAGAGTGTACTTATTGATAACTGGTATGAAGATAAATGTGGCACATCCCAGTCAAAAAATGAAGGTAATTGGGAGTCAACTTATCAAAAAGATTATCGCGAACGTGTTTTACCTATCCGAGATAACAGAGCTATGAGGAATATAAGAGAAAGAGCGTTGGTAATTATTGCAAAGTACATTATATTGCAGGACATACCTAATGTCTTACTCGTAAATCAGGATTAAAAAAAATTTGAAAAAATGTATTTAACGAATGTTAAATGTACATAATATATATATAATTATCCATTTAGGGGTTGCCAATTAATTTATTCCGTGAGCATGGTATCCACAATGCCTACAATAAAAACATGAGTTCCTTATACGATGTAAATTGCATGGTTGCTTACAATCCACCATTGTACAGGCGTTACAATTCAAGGTCTGGACTCTGGAAACCCGAACAAAATTTCACAGTTAATTATGGACCGGGGCGAAATGAATTGTCGAAAAAAAAACAGTCAACTTGGAACAGTATCATTAAGGAATTCGTACCTAGTACAGAATATCAGTGTAGTTATACAAAAAAATAGATGAAAATAATGTATTTTCACAAATCACATTTAAAAATAAAAATAATCTTAAATTAATGTGAAATTAAAATAAGACGCACTTAGATTACTGTATAATATATGCTGTGACGTAGCCAGGATTATGAAACGGGGAGGGGAGTTATAAATTAAATTAAGTTTTTACAGTTTTTGTATACATATAATAAATAATACGTAATATAAATAATCACCCATAAGCCCCCTGGCTAATACTATACAAATGATTATGAAAAAAAAGTTGGGTTTAGATTACCTATCTATATAGTGATATTTTAGGTAGAGTTAGAATACGAAAATAATATGAAGTCCCCTATATAATATTTCATTTACAAAATTAAATTGTATTAATAATAATATAATATTATAATTATAATAATTTTTTTATTGATAATACACTTCAAAATCAATATCATATTTTGGTCATTATTTGACTTATGCATTTTAAAAAAATAAGCGGGCTAGCAAGTAACCGCTCAGCTGTTGTAGATAATGTATATATTATCTGTGTCTTCTGTGCGGTTGGTGTCGAGATATTGCATAGGTCAATGTAATGGATGTGTTAAATTTAAATTTTATAGTAAATCATTGCGATGCCATTCGAAAAACTATTCTGAGCGAAGACGGTCTGTCAGCCTGTGTTACTAAGTATATGTTGATGATTTATTTATTTTGCCATAAAAGTAATTAATTTTACCATCGGTAATATTAGTACCTATATTTAGTTATATGGTAGGTTGAATTAATTAATTAACTAAATATTTATTTTTATTAGAGCTTTCAGTATGTACTATTATAGCTCGACAATAACATCATTAACTTAACTAACCAAGCAATATACAAGGTATTCTTATAGTACGTGAAATAACCAAATATACAACGTGGCCAATCCAATTATGAAACTTAAAGAGAATGCAATTTCTAAATGTAATAACAACAGATAAGATAGTAAAGAGAAGGATTGAAAGAAACGGAAATTGAAAAAATAAAAAATATTAGACAATATTTTTGCCGACGAGTGCATTTAAAACGGTTGAAAAGAGAGTAATAGTGGGCTAATTAAAGTATTTCGATTATTGATAAGTTGAGAAAAAATAGCAGATAAATGTGCCGATGATGTGTCTTGGTTTTTAGTGGCGCCCGTATGCATTTTGGTGTCGGGTCGAGGAAAGTAAATATTTATATTGCTAATATTGTATTTTACAGTACAATAATTTTACCATCTATTTTATGGCAGGTAGGTTGGGTAATTCTTTTCATGAAATATAGCATTTATTATATTATATATATTTATTTATTATATATTTTAATAGTATGTAATATCTTTATATCATAATCATAAACCTAATTATATTGTTATTAACTTTGAGTTAATACCAATTAACCGCTGAACGGTGTATGCAGGTTCGTAGTATAAATAGGCAATATCTTTAAATTAATCTACATGTTATTTTCAAAATATTGTGTACACTAAAAAATAAAAAATGTAAGTAAGTACTCAACAAATAACTAAAGCCATTATTTTTCGTAATATTCAATTTTGATTTAAAATTGTAACTTCAAATAATCAACTGCCTATAAATAATTCTGCTTATAAATTTTTTTTGGATTCATGGGTTTCAGTAAGAACTGCGTATAAAAAACCATGCCTAGTATTTTTAATGCTTTAAAATAACTACGATATAAGAACACATTATATTGGATCTTGCATTACATTTTCAAGTTTTTCGAGAGTCAAAATATTTTTTTAACATTAAAAACTAATAAACTTTAAATAAATGCGTATAAATAACTTACAACAAGTTTAAATAATTTGAAAATTCCATATTGAGTTTATAATATAGTAATTTAAATAACAGTGGAATGTTTCAAGTTCGTTCAACAAAAAAGCTAAAATCACTGTTTTATGCTTGAATATCCAATTTTGCCAAAATTTAAACTTCTGACCCCAACCAAAAATATTTGTTGAATTATGATCAACTTTTTTTTTATAATTTTGTAATCAATATTTCTTAGACAGAACCTTGTATTACAATTTCTTATCTTAGGTATGAATATAAAATATTTTATGAATTTTTAACTACAAAATAATCTTTCATATTTTTTGCATATTTTAGGGATTTGACAAATTAAGAAATACATATTATTATAAAGCTAAAAAAAATGATAGTAGATTTGAGTCCAACTTTTATTTTATTCCAGTATGAGTAACTTATTAGGAACATTGCAATACATTTTCAAGCTTTTTGACTGAGCATTATTTATTTTTTTTGTCGTTTATATACTATTAGCTAATTGGCATCACAAAAAAACTTTATTATTCAATGCACTATATAATTTGGTCAGCGTTACGATTTCATTTTTGTCTGCGCTTTCTAACTTATGTTATAACTTATGAATATTATTTCAAACGTACGAGCAAGTCATACATCGATATTTTAATTTTACAATATTATTAAGAACTTTTTTAATAAACCAATTTTTTTCAGCACAGTGACAATATATATATAAGTTTACTGAAAACACGGCTCGCTGTGAACGCTGGTGAATTCGGAAATTACATTTTCCAATAAATTTATTTCGGCAGCCAAGAACGTAGTTATCAGGTTGTTGACATACATTACGAAGTAGGTACTCCCAGACACCCTTAGCGTTGTTTTGAGAGTTTCTTGCGTCTCGCATATTTTCTGTTATGCTACTGAATAACTCGTGGCGTCTTTAAAATAACTAGTTTAGCTTACTACTGAATACCTAGTAACCTACTAGTAAGTTTGAAAAGAGTATGTACTAGTAGCCTAACTTCCACTCGATTCATATAAGATATATAAAATGCAGTAGTATTTAAATAAAAAAATAGCATGACTTACTTTTAAAGAAAATTCAGCACACACATTTTATTGAGAGCCAATCGGCTGCGATAATCAATTATAAAAGGGATAGCTGTATATGATTGTATAGTGTATACCTATAATATCTTAAGAAATAATGGCTATAACTTATTACCTACAGTTGGGTATTACAACTATTACTCAACAGCTGAGTATACAAATGGATATGAATTTATAGTATAAAAACGTTGAAATATTAATTGATAAAGTAATATTATCTTTGTATTAATTGTTGAACGGCATATTTATGTATCAATTTGAATAAAATATATTCTAGAATAAAAGCGCTTTTTGAGAAAGTTTATTGTAAAACCATAGGAAATGGGCCTGATTGATCATCTCAAGTTGTATTTGGAACCAGAATCTTTGGATGCTTATGATTATTTACGATACCTTGTTATAATACGTTTAATTAATTTCTTATAAATATAATCCTACACACACATTTAAGTAAAAAAATAGTTACCCATTTAGTAATAGTAGTGAAAGATGTAGATATGTAATTGACTCTAGAAACGGGAATTTTATTTTTCAATACGATATCTTTCAACCTGTACTTAACCCACATATCCTAAACATAAGTAAAATATAGTAAAATAACGCATTAATAAAAGTTATTCATTTACAATTCAATACTAAACAGTTAACACTGTGTTGTACTGTATTATATTATCATATTATCATATATACTAACTCTACTACACACAACATTAGCAGCAGATAATTAATAACATAATGTAAAAAATCTAGATAGCTCTGTTTCGTTTTATCATAATATTAATAACAATAATAATAATATAAATAATAAATGTAAGGAATATAATATTAATCGCCCGCGGTATTGCACACGATCGGACACAGCAGCGCGGTCATACCGAAACGACCAGTTCGGCCACGCACCCAATCCTGAATGTTGGAGTGTAATGCCCACAGGACATAACCATCCTTGGCAGCACCCGTTGGTTCAGTGGTGGCGTAATCAACGGACGTTATTTCCATGAAGCCTGGGGACAGTCTACCGCCACTGGGTCGCTTGTGCGTCGCGTTTTTGATGAACGCATCACTGGAGCTGTTACAGCTTTCACACGGATCATCGTCGTCGTCGTTGCAGCCATAATCTGTCTCACATCCCGCGTCCTTGCCGCGTCCCTTGTCCTTTCCGTGTCCCTTGTCCTTGCCGCGTCCCTTTTCCTTCCCACGTCCTGTTTCCCTACCACGTTCCGTGTCCTTGCCGCGCCCCATGTCCTTCCCACATCCGGTGTCTCTTCTGCATCTCGTGTCCGGCGGCAACTCGCAGACACCGGTGACGCGCGGACGATCACTGTGTTGGACTCTCACCACCGCCGTCACATGGCTACGTACAACCAGGTCGAAGTATTCCGAGTGAAACCTTCTGCGGGCGTCCCAGACGTACAAGTCCGATCGGCGAATGGCTGCGGGATCTCGGAAATACCACTGCATGCCGTACGCCGAGTTGACCGGAACCAAGGGTCTGCCGACGCTGCCGCCGCCGCTTATCGGTTTCCGGCCCACGTTAGTCACGCACTGGTTGCTGCCGGTCGACAGGCAACTGGTCAACTTCAAATCGAGGGATCCTTTGGACTTGCGGTGGTTCCGGAATACAGTCACCGGGATCCGGTACGCGTCCGGGTGTCGGCCGTACGTGATGTACAGGTGTCGCTGTGGCCGCAGGCCACTGAAGTCGTCCAATAGCGCCATGTGCAGAGTGTTCCGGCTCGGGTCCAGATCGCCGTCGCAGCTGTCGTCGTCTTCTGTCGCCGAAACGGACGCCGGCAGGATCACGCGGATCCCACGGCAGTCGTCCACCAGCCACACCACGATCAAACCTTTGACCCGGTCATGGGTGCACGCGTCACCCACGTACACCGCCACTGGTTTTGGTTTTTTTACACTTGACGTGCCGTTCGAATGTCGACGATTGCGGACGATTGGAGGATCATCTTTATTAGATCTGTTGCTGTTGCACTTTCTGTTACATCTACTACTGCTATCATTACCGCCATCAATACTACTACCGTAGATGGCACTGTTGCCACTGTTACCTCCAGCTTCGTCTCCATTTCCACAATCGTCATG